CCCAGCCCCCACCACCCCCGCCCCAGAGCCTGGGCCCCCCCGGGCGTCCCAACCCTGGCGGAAATGGCGTGGTTGAGGTGTACAGTGCCACGGAGCCCCTGGCTGGGAGTGGCACAGTGGAGATCCAGGCATTGGGAATGCAGCCCTACCCACCCCTGGAGGTGAGCAGAGGCCGGGGCTTGGGGGGAGGGGAAGGAACTGGTCACGGTCATCATGGGTAACCGGAACTTTTCCTGAGCACCAGCTCTGTGCCACATGCTGTGCCTGAGACAAAATCAGATCAGGGAGAGATCACATCATGGGAGAGAATCAAGCCATTTAATTTAATCAAGCCATCATGCCCATAAACGTGAAATGCGAACCATGAGAAGGTGGCACGAAGCAGAGGGTTGTGGCAGAAATACAAGCTGCCCTCAGGAAGTCCTCAGAACAGTCAGAACACCTGTGTTTTAGGGAGAGGATTCCAAGAAGTGATCGATGTGATCATTGGTCAATGATCAGTTGACCAGTGATCAATCTTACATTTTGAACAAGCTAGATGTATGGGTTAGTTATGGCCGAGGAAGAAATAGCCACAGAACCTCAGTGGTAGATGGCAAACCATGTTTATTGTTCTCGCATCTATGCGGCTTGCTTTGGCAACTCTGCTGATCTTGGCTGGGCTCTCCCAGGTGTCTGGAGATGGCAGCTGTCAGCTGCTCTAGGATGGCTGGGGTGGGACAAGTTGGCCGACCCCGCTCTGCTCCAACGCATCTGTTAGCCTCCAGCGGGTTAGCCAGGCATGTTCTTACTGCAGTGGTGGGGGTGCAGGAACACAAGCAGAAATGTTCGAGGGTACCTCTTGAGGCTTAGGCTCGTACAGTGTCCCGTCTGTTGGTCAAAATAGGTCACAAGGCCAGCTTAGATTTAAACAGTAAGGAAACAGATGCCACATCTTGATGGAAAAAGCTGCAAAATCACACTGCAAAGGGCATGGGTCCTGGGAGGGGTAAAGAACTGAAGCCATTATGCAATCAGTGTACCATATGTACCACACTGATTCCCTGCTGAAGAGCTCTGAGCTGTAAGTTCAGGGTGCTAAGAGTTCAGGACCTTCCCAGACACCAGTGCTGACTCATACTCAGTCTGGCCATACAGACATTCCATGTCGGGGAGCATGTATATCTAAAGAGAACCAGAGCAATGGGAAAATTCTACCACCAGCCATGTGAGGTGATGAGAGCCTGCAGGAGATTCGCCCTAGCCTGAGGGAATAGAGCAAGCTTCCTTTTGTTGACTTAAAAAAAAATTTTTTTTTTGAGTCAGTGAGCTGCCGAGAGACTAAATAGTGGCCCGGTAGGTGAAGGGGCCAGCCCCGGAGGAGCCTTCCCATGGAGATGAGGGTGCTCTTTGAGCACAGGGCCTGAGCCTTCTTTGTTTTGGCAGCCTTAGCACCTAGCGGAGTACCTGGCCTGTGGTACACCCGTAGTAGGTATCTGAAAATCTGAAATAGGGCCCTCTGACTTCAGTCTCCTCTCCTCTGAAATGGGAACTCCCCTTGTAGAGCTGTTGAGGGTAATGAGAGCAAACCCAGTGGCAGTCACATAATTTCTCAGTAATGACTTGAAAGGTGAATTCATCCATGTGATACCTATTTACTGAGTGCTGTACTGGTCAGGAAAGTAGGAACCCTTCTAGGTATTTCTGGCAGAGGGATTTAATACAAAAAGTCAGGTGCTTACAAAGCTGACTTCAGAAGGGCGAGATGGAGCAAAAGGCAGAGTGGGCGAGCGGCACTGATTTTCAGGTTCACGGTTGTTGCTTGGCCCAGAGGGCCAGGAAGCTACTGCTGCGCCCAGAGGTGGGGAAGCTTTAGGATTCTGTTGCTGCCCTGCCATCCTTGAGGCTGGTGGCCAGGAAGGGAATGTAGAGTTCAGCCAGCCCCTCCAACACTCAGGACTGCAAACCTTGTCTCCCACCACGGCTGCCAGGGGAAAGCAGTTTCTACTTCCCCTCTGCCTTCCAAATCTCATGCAGGTGCTTCTCATGGGCAGAACCTAATCTATGCTCAGAACCTTGCTGGCAAGGGAGTCTGGGAATGCACGTATCAGGGGAGGGCATGGAAGGGTGTAAGAATGGTGCCAAGGGCCAACAGACAAGATCCAACAGAAGCACCTACTGGTACCATATCAGATGCCCAATACATACATCTACTGATGTCAACTCTTTTGGTTCCTGGACCCAATTCCAAAGCTGGGTGGGGTCCGCCCCCCCCCCCCCCCCCCCCCCCCCCCCCCCCCCCCCCCCAGCCAATGCCAAGCAATTCTCAGACACCAGTGCAGTGTCTAACAATTCAACTCAATTCTGATGTCATAAGCCCAGAGATCACAGCAGATTCCACAGGTTAAGGGTTCAGTCCTGCAAGACTGCCCTCACCCTCACTTTATCCCGTTGCAAGCAACCTGTGCTTCTGACGGACAGGCTACAGATTGGAGGTTCCAGCGACCTCCTCCTTAGGCTCTGTTAATTTGCTAGAGCAGCTCATGGGACTCAGGGGAACATTTACATTTGCCAGTTTGTTAAAGGATGTAATAAAAGATAATGAATCAACATCTCAGTGAAGAGACACATAGGGTGAGGTGTGGGGAAAGGGAAGTGGATCTTCTGTGCCCTCTCTGGTTGTGTCACTCCCTCCACACTTCCCTATGTTCATCAGCCTGGAAGATGTCCAGACCCAGTCCTTTGGGGTTTTTATGAGGCTTCGTTCCATAGTCACGGTTAAGTCATTGGCTATTGGCTGATTCAACCTCCAGCCCTTCCTCACTCCCCAGAGGTTGGGGTTTGGGACTGAATGTTCCAACCCATCAGTCATGTGGTTGGTCCTCTTGGCAACCAGCCCCCCACCCTTGGGTCAGGGCCAAAAGTCACTTTTGTTAAAAAAAAAAAAAAAAAGTCACTTTCATTAATAATAAGACAAAAAAAGACACCTATTTCACTTTTATGGCTCTGAAGCATTTCCAGGAACTGTGGATGAAGGCCAAGTATATGTGACAAACATATTTTGGTCATCTGAATGAACAAGTATGCGTTTCTTATATATCATTATGTTATAATGCATACATGAATTCATGGATTCAAAAATATTTATTGAATGCCTATTTTGTGCCAAGGATTACTCCAGGCTTTGAGGACTAAATAAAAGTAGACCAAAAGTCCCTGCCTTCACGGAACTAGGCAGGTAATAGATAAGTGAGTAAAATACATAATTTGCTAGCGGTAAATCTACAGAGAAAAATAAAGCAGAGAAGGCTAGGGAGTGAAATTTTGGATAGGCCAGCCTGGAAAAACCAATGAATGAGGAGTACATCACTGATTTAATGAATTCTTCACAGTGCCCCAGTGTCATGATGTAAGCTTAGTGTTAACTAGGTTTGAGTGGCTCAGAATTTATTTGGTATGTCAGTTCTCAGTTGAAAGCTGCTGGCTGGTGTGGCATCAGGCAGGGTCAGTTCGGGAGGGGGTTGCTGATGAGGGCGCAGCCCCTCCTGACTTCCTGGTTCTCCTGTGCTAACAAACTGCTGCTAGTAACAGCAGTAATGGCAATAAGAGCAGCTAATGTTTATTGAGTCTTTACCATATGTCAGGCACCGTTCTAAGCTCTTTACATGTTAACTCATCTAACCTCACAACAACCCAGCGAGAGGAACACTCTGATTATCCCCATTTTACAGATGTCAAGCTGAGACAGAGATGTTGAAAGACTTGCCCAAGGTCACTTAGAAAATAAGTGGCAGAATCAGCATCATTTGAACCCAGATGGCCTGGCTCCAACGCTGCTTCTAGCCTACTGGCTCCATGAAGTTCTAAGGGATTAGGATGGTGATGTAGGCGGGAAGTGGCTGAGATTAGCCAGGGCTACAGTGAGCGTCCCCCTGGCTGGTACAGCTCTTCTCCATCCTTCCCAGTCCTCTCTCCCTAATTGTGCTGTCCTTCTAGGTGCCAAACCAGTGTGTGGAGGCTCCAGTATACCCCACCCCTCCGGTTTACAGCCCCGGCAAACAGGGATTCAAACCGAAAGGACCAAACCCTGCCGCCCCCATGACCAGCGCCACTGGGGGCACGGTGGCCACCTTTGACTCCCCACCAACGCTGAAGACCCGAAGGGCCAAAGGTGCCAGTGGACTCCCAGAAGGTGGGCCTGCAGCCTGTGATGGGCATCGTTCCTCACCATTATCCTGTCCATTAGGCTGCTTAGTTCTGGTCTTTCCTTTTATGATGGTTAGGATTGAGTTTGGTTGCATGTAATGGAAAATCCAAATTAGAGTGACTTTAAAATGATAGAGTTTTATTTATTTATTTTTTTGCCTGTGGGAAACGAGACCAGTGGCAGGCAGTCTGGAAATTGTGTGCCTGTATGGTCATCAGGCCCCCACATTTGTGTCTTTCTGCTCTGCTGTCACTAGAGCAGAGCTTCTGTTATCAGGGTGCCTCATCGACTAATATGGCTGCTGGAGTTCCAGTCATCAATTTCATATTCCAGGCAGTAAGAAGGATAAAAGGGGCATCTCCCAGCTTCCAGAATTTCTGCATGATGCTTTTATTTACATCTCATTGGTCTCAACTTAGTCACATGAGCCTGTCTAGCTGTAAAGGAAGCTGAAGTGTCACTTTTAGCCAGGAACACTGATGTTCCCATTATGCAGGGGATTTATGAGGAGCAAAGGGGGGCAGTGGATATCAGGCAGGCAAGCAACAATGTCTGTCGCCCCTTCAGAGATGCTAGCAAGGGACAGGAGGAGTGTCAGAAAGTGGTGGTGGAGAGGGAGGACACAGAAATCAAGAATTTTTCAGGGGCTTTCCAGTCAACTACCTCCAACCTTCCTTTCATAAATATCTGTGTGCCAGAGTCAGCATCAGGTACTGAGGATCCAGCATTGTGGTCCATGATTTCTCTGACCTCCGTTACAGTTAATGGAAGAGACAGACAGGGAAAACAGGATAACCGTTTATGGGTTGCTCCAGGCAGGAGATTGACAGGGTTCTATGATTGAGAATACTGGGGAGAGACTAGAAAATGCCGCTACCTATCCATCTAGGGATGAGAAGGAAGCAGCTTTGTGGCCCTCTGAGGGATGAGCACACCAGGCAAGGGGGAATAGCTGGTGTAAAAGCCCTGAGGTGGGACCATGCCTGAGGTCTTTCAGGGTTAGAAGGAGCCCACCGCAGCTGGATGGAGAGAACGATGAGGTTAGCAGGAAGCAGAGGATGCATAGCCCTGTAGGCCCCAGCAGAGAGGTTGGCTTTTATCCTAGGGCAGAGGGGAGCCTTTTGGGGGTTCTCTCTCTCTTCCAGCCAGAGCATGTTCCCTGGGCTTTCCTCCTCCAGGCACTGTGAGAGGCTCACTCCATCCCGTGCATTTGGGGATCTGGACCTCCCAGAGTCTGGGCTTTCTGGCCCCAGGCCCAAGGGGTAGAGTGTCAGAAGGCTGCTCTTGTTGCCCTCAGTTGTACCCTTCCCTCACCTTCCCCTGCCCCCACCTTGTTTTTCAGCTGCAGGGAAGCCAAAGGCTCAGAAACTCAAGTGCTCATACTGTGACAAGTCGTTCACCAAAAACTTCGACCTTCAGCAGCACATCCGCAGGTACCACCGGGTGTGGTGGGCCAGGTGGCTCTGGCGGGGGCGGTGGGAGGGCATCCACAGTAGAAGCAAGGCTCCCCGCCCAGGCCCCTTGGCCAGGGTGGTGACCAAGGCCCCATCCATCCTGTCGTGGTTCTCAGACCATTGGGCCAAGTCAGGATGGTTTTCCCTCTGCTGTTGGGAGCAGCAGGAGGGATCTGTGAAAGCTGTAGGGCCCGTCCGCTCTAGTGGGGACAGTCCGAGTGGGGCGAGGTGAGGGGAGAAATGTACTTGAACTGTAGGACCTTCACAGGTGTGAGGGGTGCCTCAGTCCTCACCTCTGCAGAAAGGACCGACCTCAAGAGCTGCCATGATCTGCGAATAGGACTACGAGTTCTGCTCACTCGGGACAAACCGTGATCCCTCCTGTCCCAAGAACACACAGGGAGCCCCTCTGGGCCCGGGTTTTTCCATCTGTGAAGTGGAGGGGTGAACTTATTTGGTGTTTCTCACAGAACGAGTTGCGTTGGTACCTGAGATGATTTTAGGTGGTTTGTAGATATGGTGTTGAGAAGTTCTGAAGGATACAGGAAATTATTCAAGTATTCGCTTTTTGGTTTCTTTCAGTCCTTAGAGAATCAAAGGAGAAAGCCTCAGTCTAGTGCTAGTCTGTCCTGAATGCCTCTCCTATACTTGCTCGTCTTTTATAGCAAAGAGAGAGAGGAGAGAGCACATGGATGCGTGTGCACGTGCACAGGCTCAGATTCCAGTCATGGCAGGCAGCAGCTTCTCACTAGACTAGGGCGTCTCAGCCTTGGCACTGTTGACGTTTTACATCACATCATTCTTTTCTGTGAGGGGCTAACCTGAGCCTGGCAGAGCGTTTAGCTGCATCCCTGACCTCTAACATGAATTAGATGCCAGCAACACCCCTCACACCTCACCTGTAACAACCTGAAATGTCTCCAGACATTGCTGAATGTCCTCTGAAGGGCAAAATCAAACTCGGTTGAGACCCACTCATCCACACTAGTGTGTTCAATAGAACTTTCTGCAGTGATGGAAATGCCCAAATTGGCACTGTACCCAGTAGGGTAGCCAATAACCACGTATGGCTGTTGAGCACTTGAAATGTGGCCAGTATGACTAAGAAATGGAATTTTTTCTTTTAAATTTAAATCATCCTGTGTGGCTTGTGTCAACCTTACTGGACAGTGCAGCTTTGGGTCTTAATACTGTTTTTTAAATTGTTGCATTTTTTTTGGTTACTTTGTATTTATGACAAGTGGTTTTCCATACACAATAACAACAGGAAGCTCAATTTTTAAATTATTTTGAGTTTTAAAAAAGTGGGTTGATTTGAAGGAAAATACTAAATAATGATACAAATGCTGTGCTGTGACTATGCTATTTCTCCTTCAAATAATAAATCCCTATTTAGGGGCACCTGGGTGGCTCAGTTGGTTAAGCATCTGACTTCGGCTCAGGTCATGATCTCACAGTTGGTGAGTTCAAGCCCCGAATCGGGCTCTCTGCTGTCAGCACAGAGTCTGCTTCAGATCCTCTGTCCCAGTCTCTCACTGCCCCCCGACCCCGCCCCTGCTCGCCTTCTCTTTCTTTCTCTCCCTCTCAAAAATAAATAAACATTTAAACAATAATAACCATAAATCCCTATTTGGATGGGCTTAACCAGTTAGGAAATGTTTTCTTTCACAGTATGAGATGGCCACAGAGAAGGTCAGCTCCAGGCTGGTTGACTCAGTAACTCAGTAATGTCACCAAGAGCCCGGGATCTTTCTGTCTCTGGACTGCCTGCCTCAGCAAGAGGGCTTGACTTCATGGTGTCAAGAATGATGGCCAACAGCATCTCTGTGTGGGCCTTGTTGGGGGCTGTGAGCTCCTATGTTGAGGTCACATCCTGATTCCTACGTAAGGTGCTGACAAGCTTTGTTTCCTACAGCCACACCGGTGAGAAGCCCTTCCAATGCATTGCATGTGGCCGTGCCTTTGCCCAGAAGTCTAATGTCAAGAAACACATGCAGACTCATAAGGTGTGGCCCCCAGGGCGTAGTGGTGGCACTGTCTCTCGCAACTCTGTAACTGTACAGGTCATGGCCCTCAACCCCAGCAGGCAGGAGGACGAGGAAAACACAGGTAGGTGGAAGTGGGGAATACCATCGTTCCCGTACCTATCCTCGGAAGCTTCATGGGTTTTATTCCTAGCTGTGTGACCTTGGGCAATCTCCTTGACCTCTCTGGGCTTCAGTCTACTTTATGCATAAAATGGGGCATCACATGAAAGGAGGGATGGCAAGTATGCGTGGCAGACTGTCTGTCCTGACTCTTCTTCTGCACTTCTCAGTGACTTCCTTTCCTGGTTTTCTCCACAGGTTTGGGCCAGACCCTGTCGGGTGCCCCACAGCCCCAGGCCTTGCCCACAGCAGGTGAGGATGAGGGGGACAAGCTGGAGGCCAAGCAGGTGGTCCTCATCGATAGCTCCTACCTGTGCCAGTTCTGCCCCAGCAAGTTCAGCACCTACTTCCAGCTCAAGTCCCACATGACCCAGCATAAGAATGAGCAGGTAGGTGAGTGGTGGGCAGCGGGAGGCCACAGCCACCCTAGTTGTGAGCACTGGCTGCTGCTGAGGTCTTGAACACTGCCCAGAGAGGGACGGGAGTGGGCCTCAGTTGCCGTGAGCTACCATCTAACCACCGGGATGGGCAGGCCAAGCTTCCCCTCGCTGGGTGGGGCTAGTTCACTGGGCCATTATGGTGCGAGGCCAAGGAAGGAAGCCCATCTCTTATTAGGGGTCATATAATGGAGGAATTGGACATGAGAAAAATTCTTAATACCCCAAGAAACTTTAATGTCTAAAAACCTACCCATGGGGATATAGGACCACAGTCTTTTTTTTTTTTTTTTTTTTAATTTTAATGTTTATTTATTTTTGAGAGAAAGAGTGTGAGCAGGGGAAGGACAGAGAGAGGGAGACACAGCATCCGATGCAGGCTCCAGGCTCTGAGCTGTCAGCACAGAACCCGACACGAGGTGGAACCCACAAGCCACTAGATCGTGACCTGAGCCAAAGTTGGACGCTTAACTGACTGAGCCACCCAAATTCACCTTTTTTGAAATGTACACTTCAGTGGTTTTCAGTTTATTGATAAATTTGTGCATCCATCACCACTATCTAATTCCAGAATATTATCATCATCCCAAAAAGAAGCCCTATACCCATTAGCTGCCACTCCCCCCTTTCCCCAGTCCCTGGCAACCATTAAAACTATTCTTTGTCTCTATGGATTCGCCTATTCTGGACATTTAATATAAATGGAATCACATGATATTTGGCCTTTTGACATCATGTTTTTAAGGTTCACCCATGTATTAGCATGTATTGGTACTTCATTTTTATGGTAGAATAATATTCCATTATATGGCCATAGCACATTTTGTTTATCTTTTCATCAGTTAATGGACATTTGGGTTGTTTCTGCTTTTTGGCTATTGTGACTAACGCTTCCATGGACATTTGTGTACAAGTTTTGTCTAAACATACATTTTCAGGGGCGCCTGGGTGGCGCAGTCGGTTAAGCGTCCGACTTCAGCCAGGTCATGATCTCACGGTCCGTGGGTTCGAGCCCCGCGTCGGGCTCTGGGCTGATGGCTCAGAGCCTGGAGCCTGTTTCCAATTCTGTGTCTCCCTCTCTCTCTGCCCCTCCCCTGTTCATGCTCTGTCTCGCTCTGTCCCAAAAATAAATAAAAAACGTTGAAAAAAAAATTAAAAAAAAAAAATAAACATACATTTTCAGTTCTCTTGGGCATCAACCTACGTGTGGAATTGCTAGATTATATAGTAACTCTATTCCAGTCTTTATTTTTTAAAATAAGTTTTATTGTTATTTTTTCTTCTTATAAAAGTATCATGGATCCAATATAGAATTAGAAAATTCAGAAAAACCTAAAGAATGTATAGGTTTAAAGAATGCATTTATTATATGCTGGGCACCCTGCTAAGTGCTTTACATTCAATATTTTATTTAATCTTCATAACCTTAGAGATAGGCATTTTCAGTATACGCAAATGAAGAAACTGAGGCCCAGAGGGGTGAAATGACCCATCCAGAGTCACACTGCCAGTAACTGACTGGGTCAGGGTTCAAAGCCAAACCCTATGTCAGTAACCACCTTGCAATGCACCATCCCAAGAATGCAGCACAAAATCCAGCATATTTTGTGGAGCTCCTGGGGTATTATTGTTATTATAATTGGGATTGGTCTACACATATTATTTTGAATTGTGCTTTTTCTTCTGATAGTGCTTTTTTTTTTAAGCTTTTTCTTTTGGATGAATTATAGATTCATAGGAAGTTGCAAAGATGGTACTGAGATGTCCCTTATGCCCTTCAGTCAGTTTCCCTTGGTGGTTACATCTTACATAACGACAGCATGATACCGAAACTAGGAAACTGACATTGGCATGCAGTATGTGTATGGTTCTGTGCCATTTTACCACCTGTGCAGGTTTGCAGGTTTGGGTAGCCACCACTGCCATCACGGTACAGAACTATTCCATCACCACAAAGACCTTCCTTGTGCCACCGCTCATTAGTTACACCTACTCTCCTCTTCCCTAACATTTTTAACTTCTGGAAACCACTCATCAGTTCTCCATCTTCGTGAGTTTGTCATTTTGAGAACATTGTACAAATGGAATCATCCATACTGGGCCTTTTGAGATTTTTTTTTTAATTTTTTTTTTTTAGCATTTGTTTATTTTTGAGAGAGAGAGAGAGAGAGAGAGAGAGTGTGCACAAGGAAGGGGCAGAGAGAGGGGGGTACAGAGACTCTGAAGCAGACTCCAGGCTCTGAGCTGTCAGCATAAAGCTAGATGCAGAACTCAAACTCATGAACCACGAGATCATGACCTGAGCCAAAGTCAGATGCTCAACTGACTGAGCCACCTAGGTGCCACGAGATTTTTTTTTTAATAAGCATAAATTCTCTTGAGATTTGTGCTTTCTATTTTTTAACCTAATTTTATCTTCTGAGAATTTTCTCATGTCGCTAATTTTAAAAAACATAATTTTTAACAGTTGTACTTTTAAAAATCCCATTGTTTTAACATTTTGGATATTAACTGTATTTTGCTATTGTAAACAAAACTACAGCGAGCAACACTGTAATCAAATATTCATCCAAATCTCTGGCTTATATCTTAGGATTGGTTCCCAGCAGGGGGGTTGATGAAATTAAGTTAGGATACCCATGGGGCAAATCATAGGAAACTTTGACTCAGACTGCTAACACAATTAAGAGGTTTATCATTGCACATAACAAGAAAATACAAGATTGGGCAGCTCCAGGCCTGAAACAGTCAGTTGACTCAATCCAACATCAGGAACTCTGTGTCCTTCCCACTCTTGTCTCTGCCATCTCAGGGTATGACCTTGTTCTCTACTGATGGCTTATCTGTGGTTATGGGATGGTAGTCACTCTTTCTAGGCAGCAGTCCAGATACAGTGTTATCCATGAGCAAAAAGGGGCTCGCTTCTCTGTGCCTTTTTTAGGGGCAAGAAAATTTCCTAGAAGCCCTCTGTAGATCTCTCATTAGTTGGAGCTACTGTATGCACTCAGTCACTTAGGAATTCATTATTACTTGCAAATAATAAGACAACTAGCTTACTAGTTAGGGTTTTACTTCCCTCATGTTATAAAAAGCTGTAAGTAGTCAATGTTGGGCTTATATAGCAGGTCAGATATGTCATCATAGACTCAGGCTTCCCCTAGTTTTCGGCCCTACCATTCTGAGCATGTGACTTTTCTCCTCAAGGTTGCGTAGTGGCTGCTGTATCTCCAGTCATCACATCTGGATTCCAGTCAGGACAATTGAGAAAAGCAGAGGGGATTTCTCCTAGGAAGCCTTTGCCTTTTTTGTTCTGGAAGTAATCCCTTCCCTAAAGACCACTGCCTGCATATCACTGGCAAGAAAGGATGCAGATGGCTGACACTAGATGAGAGGGAGCCAGGGAGATCAAGTGTTTTAACTGGGCATGTTGCCACTCTGAACAAATCAGGATTCACTTTGTTAGGAAGAAGGAACATGTGGGATTGTGTAGGCAGTCAGGAATATATTTGTCAAAGTATAATTTTGGGGGCACCTGGGTGGCTCAGTCAGTCCAACTCTTGATTTTGGCTCAGGTCATGAGCTTACGGTTCATGGGTTCGAACCTCACATCAAGCTCTGCGCTGGCAGCAAGGAACCTGCTTGAGATTCTTTCTCTCCCTCTCTGCCCCTCCGCAGCTCACGCTTGTGTGCTCGGTCACTCTCTCTTGCTCTCTCTCTCTCCCTCCCTCAAAAATAAATAAATAAACGTTAAAAAAAGGTATACTTTTCAAAATTTAAAAACATAATTTTCATGTGAATGACATAGTGAACATAAGCCAGAATTTTACAGAACTCGTTAATAAGGAAACTGGAAGGATGACAAAGCCAGTTCAAAAGAGGATATGAGACTTTGGTATTTATACCTGTGTATAATTATGTCAGTGAAAAAAGGGAATATTCAGAAAAGATTGCTAAGGTAGATGCAAATCTGGTTAATGTCCTAGATTGCAATAAAACCCATGACCTTTGGGGTTACCCTTTCTGCTTGACAAAAATCATTTACATCGAATCTGTTTTCTACAAGTAAAAATTTAACTATAGAGTCTGGATCCTAATCAATAGTAAATAGTCAAAATGAGACCCATCCCCTGGAGAGCGAGAGGGCCGTAGGCAGGCTTGTTAGATAGCACTGCTCAGAGTGAGGTTCCCAGAGCAGCAGCTTCAGCGTTTCCTGGGCACATGTTAGGAATGCCACATATTCAGGCCACCCAGACCTGCTGAATCAGATGCTCTGGGGGTGGCACCCAGCAATCTGTCACTGTGATGGACTCAAGTCAGAGAGCCACCACTCTAGTACAACAATGAGAGGACACGATGTCGTCCTTTTACTGTATTTCCAGGTTTGGGGTAATTTTTCTAAATCTAGCAAGGTCACACAGAGCCTGAGGGAAGGGTAATGGGGCCCTTATGACTGGCTACAGAGAGAGGACTACAATCAAAATAAAACAGGGCTCCGGCAGCAGGAGAGCGGGGGAACAGCCTGCCTCCCCTGCCCTGTATCTTCCCCCAAGGTGTACAAGTGTGTGGTCAAAAGCTGTGCGCAGACCTTCCCGAAGCTCGACACATTTCTGGAGCACATCAAGAGCCACCAGGAGGAGCTGAGCTACCGCTGCCACCTCTGTGGCAAGGACTTCCCCTCGCTGTACGACCTGGGCGTGCACCAGTACTCCCACAGCCTCCTGCCACAGCACAGCCCCAAGAAGGACAGCGCCATCTACAAGTACGTGCCCTCCCACTGCCCGTACCCCATCTCCCTGTGGGGACCCTGAGGGCCAGTGGCCTCGGTGGTTCTGACTGCTAAGGACCCGTGGGAACAGATGCTGGCCCTCCTGTCATTCTTCAACTTGGCAGATGTTTATCCTAAAAAATAATCTTAAAAAGGAGAAACCAATATTTTTTCCTTCATGGGGGGAAAGTGTGGATTTTTTCCCCTCTAAACTAAAAATATTGTGAAAGTATTAGTTTGTCTAATAATCTACAAAATTTAGGTTACAGTCAGAATGGTACCCAGATTCGTCGAATACAACGGAATGAGCAAGCACATGTTGGAAAGCCAAAGTCATAAAAACAAGATGCATTTGTTTTTATAATCTATAAAATGCGGGTTAAAGTTGCAGCTCTATGCTGATTCTTAGGGTGGACAGGGAATGAACCAAGTGTAGATCTCGTTTGGGGTAATTCTTTCTGACAATCCTTTACAGCATTTTAGTCTTCTGTTGTGGTCATAGGGGTCTGGCCACATGCGTTTCATCCTTGGATCTTCAGATCATTCTCATCGGAGCTAGCAGTCCTGTGACCATCCTCACTGAGTTTCTCTTGGTGGTTTTCTGGTCCCTTTTCCAGACTCTCTTTAGTTATCTGCATACACCCAACATCACTTTCATGACTTTGGGAAATCCCACAATTTTGCCCTGCAGTCATTTTGCTGTGCATTTGCCCTGTGACTTCTGGTAGCAGCTGCCTCATAAAACCTGGCATGTAGTACATGGGAATACTACATGTACATGTAGTACATGGGAAAATTAGTGATAAGCAAAGAGAGGTATTTGTCTGGGGACTTCTCCCAGTTCTCAGTGAATATTTTCATGTTGGAATGGTTTTGCTTCTCTGTACAAACTTGTACCTATAGGGATTTGGCTGATAACCTCTGTTAGTGAGGCATAACTCCTGGGAGATACTTCTCGGGTTCAGATATAAGTAAATACAGCCCTTGAGTTTAGAATGCACAGGCTTCTTAGGGGGATGAGTGTGTAAATGTGCTTACCATATACTCTGATAAAATGCTAACATACATGTAGATATGAGGTAGAGAAGTACCACAGTGGGATGTAGCGCAGGGAAGGTATCCCTGAAGCGGTGATATCTGAACCGAGTTTTGAAGGACGAATAGGAGTTTGCCAAGTAGACAGTAGGGTAGAGTGCATTCCTAGCATGAGGAACAGCAAGTGTGGAGATATAAAATAAAACAGCAAGTGGTTTAGAATGATTGTTGTGTAGAGTTAAAGTGAGAGAGGATGTTTAGATGTAGCCCAGGGGATGTTTAGAAATTAGGGCCAGGATATGAAGGGCCTTGCCGAAATCACAAAAGCTTTGAGAAATTAGCGGGAGCACTGGGACTGAAATGGGTGTAGGGCAGCTTGCCCGGGGGCGATTGGGAAGTGGAGCCAGAGAGGCAGGAAACCAGACAAAGCTTTGGCCAGGTAAGGGGTGGAGATTTCTAGTTAGTGATGGGTAATTCCCTTTTGTACTCAAGGGGCATTTTATTTTGCTTTTGCCCTATCAGTTTATTGATTATCTGTGAGTTCCTGTGGCCGTGTGGCTCTCTGGAGTGAGAAGCCAAATAAAAGGAAGGGAACATCTACTAGGGGCCAGGCTCTGTCTTAGGGACATTGATCCCTGCAATCCTGGGAGGTAAGTGGTCATATTAGTCAGCTCCAGCTACCATAACACGATACCACAGACACATGGTCTTCTTATAAGGGCACTCTGTCAATGACGAGGACCCCACCCTCATGATCTCATCTAAACATAATCACCCCCAAAGGTCCTATCTGTAAATACCATCACATTGAGGGTCAGGGCTTCAACATACAATTTTTGGAGGGTCACAGTTCAGTTCATAGCAGTGGTGTTCTCCCCATTTTGAAGATGAGGACACAGAGTCTCAGGGAGAAATCACTTGCCCACCAGAGTAACAATGTCAGCACAGAGCTGAGATTCAAACTCTTGTCTGGAACCTTGGAAGCCTCACAGCTCTGGTCTTGGAATCTGTAGGCTAAGGGTTAAGCCCAGTACTAATGGCTCTGTGTCTACAGTCAATTTCTTCTTCTAGGTTCTCTTACTAGGGTTACAGTGCCACTAACCCTTTGTAGCCATTGAAACTCTTGGCCCAAAAGTTAAGGCCTGCCATGGCAGGCCACCATCTGGATGGCCTGAGAATGGTGTGGTGTCTTGAGTAATAATGATAAGGGCTCCGGAGCCACCTGTCTGTGCTCAAATCCCAGCTTGACTACATGCCCAGTAGATGACCTTGGCAAGGTATTTGGCCACTCTGACCCTCTGTGTCCTCATCTGTGAGATGGGGATAACTATAGTGCCTACTGTGTGGGATTATTTATGAGGATTAGTTAAAACGACTATGAGGCTCTTAGACATGATACCTGGAACAGAGTAGGTGCTCAATAAATGTCATTGCTGCAATTATCATTATTTGTACAATTTAGATATAGGTTTGGTTGCATGCAATAGAGACTCCAAATAACTGTGGCATAAGTGAAGTGAGAATTTATTGCTGTTTCACAGTAATGTTTGGGCAAGTAGAGTGGCTTCATACTATTTTCAGGGTCCCAGGCCACATTGGTCTCTCTGCTCTGCTCCCTTTGGACCACATTGCCTTGGCCTGCCTATGGTGCCTTCCCAAACCCCAAGCCCCTCAAGTGAATTTTATGTGTGCCACTATATATGTGCTATATATTGATTTTTTCCTTTTAAAAGTAAGATTTATTGTTTTTTTTCTTTTTAAAAATTTTTTATTATTTTTTATAGCAAAGAGAGGGCATTTTTTAAAGTTTATTTATTTTTGAGAGAGAGTGTGTGTGAGCAGGGGAGGGGCAGAGAGAGAAGGAGAGAGAGAATCCCAAGCAGACTCTGGGCTGTCAACACAGAGCCCGAAGTGGGGCTCAAACTCACAAGCTGTGAGATCATGACCTGAGCCGAAGTCGGATGCTTAACCAACCACCCAGGTGCACCTATTGATTTTTTTTTTCTATTTACAAAAGTTATCCACGTTCAATGCAGAGAAAAAGATTTTTTTTAATTGCACAAAAAAAACTCAAAAAAACAGAACCCCCTGCCATGCAAAGATAATCCCTCTTAACTTCTTGATACATGTTATTTGATCTGTGTCAGTACTAAGCACATTTAGAGGTAGAACTGTCACAGGCTGTATGTGAGTCAGGTTATCCCAAACACAGTTACTGACTTTGGTGAAAATTCACCATGCCGTCTTCCTGTCCCACAACTTCTGACAAACTGAAACGTGATGTGATCACTTTGTACATACACATGGTGTGTGTTATCACAACCATAATATGGATATCTTTGCTTCTCGGCACAAACAGACCTGCCTCATCTCTTTATTTTTATATTTTATTTTATTTTATTTTATTTTATTTTATT